TCGTACGATTCCATTGATTTCGTTGTACGGTAATAACTAACCATATGGAACAAGTAGAACAGGTATTATATATAATTTTTTTGTTTTTCTATGTAAATATCTACGTATAACAATAACAATAATTATAATAATAATAATAATAATAATAATAATAATAATAATAATAATAATAATAATAATAATAATAATAATAATTAATAATATTTAAATGATAATTAATGAATGTAAATATTTATGTATAACAATAATAATAATAAGAATAATATTAATAATAATAATAATAATAATAATAATAATAATAATAATAATAATAATAATAATAATAATAATAATAAATAATATTTAAATGATAATCGGATATTTGAATGCTAATATTTATACATTTTACTGATAAATATATTAATGAAATAAACATATTAACGAAAATGATTAAGATAACTGGAAGAATATGAAATATAATTTTTTCTCGGTGCAATTTTTAATTCTTCTTTTTTTTTGTTTCCTTTTTTTAATAATAAATCTCTCTTTCAATCGTTTAATGATAGATAAGACATGTGTTTTTTCAGATGTCTCTTCACTTGTTGTAATATAGATAATAAAATTTCAATAATACCAACCGATGATTACGTCAATCTTTATTATAGAATGTACTACTTTATCAAGATGGATTCTTATTGATGTTATTTGTTTGTACTATCTTTAGAAGAATTTGGTTAACTGCCAGATAGGTGAATTTCATTCTGAATTGAGATTGTTATAATGAAGAACTCTCAAATTAATAAGGCATAAACGATTTAAAATATGTATATATATATATGTATATAAATGTATTCAGTTTTAATTGGGAAATCTATAATTAAGAGATTTCTTGATAATTTACATTTCGTTAAGGATTTAAATCTATTTCTTTTGATTTCCGGTAAAAGTGAAACATTGATAAATAGATAATAAAGATATAGTATAAACGTCATATATTAACAATTTGATTATAAATAAGAGAAGTTGAGAAACTTTCATTATTATGATAACAAAGTTTAAACGTGTTTCGAATACTTAAGAACAATACCTTTCACTTCCTTGTTTATAATAAAAAATCGATAGATAGATACGAGATAAAAAAAATCGACGATAATTTATTCAAGCATCTAACATAAAGATAACTCGTATGGGTTATAAAGATTTCGTATTATTATTATTATTATTATTATTATTATTATTATTATTAATTATTGATTACATAGGTAAAATTGTTACGGTGCTATTATATATTCATATAACGATGTACAATATCGTATAAACTTCGATATTTACTTTGTTTATAAAAGTTCTCTAATATAATTATAGTCATTACGAAATATGACGTAGATTTATCTTCGACTTCGAACGGTATTGATCGAAGTGTTTGCTTTTTTATTTATTTATTTTTTTCTTTTTTTTTTTTTTTTCTAAAAGTTTAAATAAATGATCAAAAAGTCTTCAAAAAAAGGGGTCCTTTCCTTTCGTTTACTTTTCTTTCCTTTCCTTTCCTTTCCTTTCTTAATCTTTTTCTCGAAGAATTCGCTTCCACTTTCATAAGAAATCTCGTTTCCCTTTTCCATGTTATATTCCCGGTATAGAATCGAGTTCAGTTTTCTCGGTCGCCGACATTCAGGAAGGCGATTTGTTCCCGTCAGAAGCAAGTTGCTTGACAGTGAACCAGTTCGTTAGTTCTTCTTTTCTTCCTCTTATTCTTTCTCTGCCATAGTGGACAGATTAAATGGAACGAAGCCCAAGAAGTCTTCTTAGTTCGTGCTAATCGACTTCCAGAATGTTATATATATATATATATATAATAAAAAAAATCTAATTTAAATTTTAAAAATCTAATCTCAATGTAATTGTTTATACTTATTTAAAATATATAACTTGAATCGATTCCTTTTGCTGATATAATATATATTACTATAAATATATTTATTATAAATACATAATATTATATATACATATGGAATAGCACTGTAGACGATTCTATATTTCAATTATTCTATAATATATATATCTATATATATATATATATATATAGATATATATATATATATATATATATATATATATATATAATAAAAATCTAATTTAAATCTAAAAATCTAATCTCTCAATATAATTGTTTATATTTATTTAAAATATGTAACTTGAATCGATTCCTTTTACTGATATAATATTATATATACATATGGAATAGCACTGTAGACGATCCTATGTTTCAATTATTCAATTGCATCGAATATAATACAATTTTAACTTGGAAAGAATTATTATCTGATGAATCTAAAGATCTGAACAAAACAAAAAAAAGAATTTAAAGTAAGAATAAATAAAAATTGAAGATATATATATATATATATAATAAAAATCTAATTTAAATCTAAAAATCTAATCTCTCAATATAATTGTTTATATTTATTTAAAATATGTAACTTGAATCGATTCCTTTTACTGATATAATATTATATATACATATGGAATAGCACTGTAGACGATTCTATATTTCAGTTATTCAATTGCATCGAATATAATACAATTCTAATTTGGAAAGAATTATTATCTGATGAATCTGAAGATCTGAACAAAACAAAAAAAAGAATTTAAAGTAAGAATAAATAAAAATTGAAGAGACATATATATATATATAATAATAATAAAAATCTAATTTAAATCTAAAAATCTAATCTCTCAATATAATTGTTTATATTTATTTAAAAACTTGAATCGATTCCTTTTACTGATATAATATTATATATACATATGGAATAGCACTGTAGACGATCCTATATTTCAATTATTCAATTGCATCGAATATAATACAATTCTAATTTGGAAATAATTATTATCTGATGAATCTGAAGATTTGAACAAAACGAAAAAAAAAAGAATTAAAAGAAAGAATAAATAAAAACTGAAGAGACATATATATATATATGTGTATGTGTAAAAAAGAAATAAATAAATAAAAAAAAAATCATTATCGAATAAGAACTCTATCGGTCCTATCTTAAATTCTAATCTCTTTAGATTTTCCAGTAGCTGCTTACCTCGATTGGATTCTCTTCCATCGTGGAGCTACTCGATGAAACATTGAGAAAGTTCGTCTCTCTTTCCTTTTCCTTTTTGGTGAGTATGCAACGAACGAGTATTTGAGAGAGCTCAGTGAAGTCATCGACCTGAAGCGGCCACGAAAATGTTATGCAAAATGTGGTTAGTTAATAATAAAGGGCTTCCTCGCGGTATCGGTCGGTCGATTACCTCATAGTGCTATGTTCCTATCAACGGATAATTTCATCGATTCTATGGGAATTTAAAAGAGAGAAAGAGATAGATAAAGTGGAAGAGAGATAGAGAGTGCCTCACGTAAGATATGTTCGAATAAATGTTTCAATAAGATGTACTTAATTATGGAAGCGAAAGAACGATAAAAAATATTATTTCAATAGAAGGATATTAAAAGAAAATATTATCAATGATTAAAAATATCTTCATTTTATCATTTATACGAAATAATTAAATGAACTTTACGAATGATATGTTTCATTATAAGATTTCCTTTGTTTATTTACATGTAAATAATAGAAATTTCAATGATACGCAATAATAATGAAACTCACGATATAATTAATCGAGATTTTAATAGTTAATAGAAATTTGAATGAATTATCACGATATTCGAATTAATACGAATAGAAATTATGTAACGATCTAATAATAAATAATTACAATACTTCCCCTTCTTATATACGATATTATTAAATTAACATTGTAACGATTATAATGATTACGCTTTTGTGGATTAATTTAAGAAAAATTCGTGTCGTTTCGTTAACGAAGATCAATCTTCGACAATCTTAGTATTTTCAAGGACGAACATATTATAGTTTTATCGATCAATAACGATAATGTTGATAGATGCTACAAAGCCGATCGTAAGTCTTTTAAAAGTCTTGAAAAATAAAAGCGCCGCCGATCGATATGCAGAGTGAAGAGTAATTACGCGTAATTACGCATTATTTGACGTGCAACGTAAACAATCTTATATACGTAAATATATAGTTATATACATAAATACCTATTATGTGAATAATGGAAACCTTTTTCAACTAAATTTCTTCCTTATGACCTTAAACATGTTTATCTCTTTCTCTCTTTCTCTCTGTCTCTCTCTCTCTCTATCTCTCTCTCTTTCTCTCTGTTTGTATTTCTGTCTTATTCTATCTTGTTTACTAGACATTAATAAACGCATTACAACGTGAACTTTAATACGTTGTTTATGACATAACATATGAGAATTAATCGGTGTAATCTTTGAAATATCTTTATGTCATTCTATATTTTTATAAAAAGATAAATATATTGCATTACCATCGTCATAAGTACATACACATAGACACAGATATATATATATATATATATATATATATATACATACGCGTATATACACGGATCAATTATTTGTTCTATTTTTTCTTTTTTCTTTTCTTTTTTTATGCTGCGACAAGAATTCCTCTATTTTCGAATAACGTCAAATAGAAGAATATTAGGAATAAGTTAGACGCGACAAATGTGATTGTTGACTCACGAAACTCAAAAAAGAACCGTCTCGAGATTTTGGCAGATGTCTTGCGTTCCTTCTCTCTCTCTCTTTCTCTCTCTCTCTCTCTCTCTCTCTCTCTCTCTCTCTCTCTCGTTTCTTCGTTGCTTGCAGGTAACGCGTACGGAGAAACGTAGATTGGCCATGTAACGGGAGACTGTCTGTCGTTGGCAGTGGAGGGTTTTCTACATATAGAGGTGCGCTCAACTCGCGAAACGATTCAGTCTCATCGAAACCAGCGTGGCAATAAAAGATCTACTTGTAAATCTTAAAAAAGAAAAAAAAGAAAGAGAGATAGAGAGAGAGAAAGAGAGAGAGAAAAATTTTTTATATATATAGAAAAAAGAGAAAAGAAAAAGTGTCGAACTTGACTTCGATGGTTTCTGTCTTTCTTTGTTTTTAATCCAATTCTCGGAATTTCTAAGTGTCGTGTCGAGATTTTTTATTGTTTCTTCTTTTTCTTTTTTTTTTATTTACCTTTTTTTCGATTTTTTTTCCTTTTTTTTTTTTTTATTTATCTTCTTTCTCCAAATCGTTCCAACAAACGGAGACAATAATTTTCAACATTTACGGGAGTTTCTCTATTCACATCGAATCTACAACGGTAAGCTCGTTATCGATTTATTTGTATTTACACTTTTGACCGTGCAATGTCTAATATTTTCCTTTTTGAGTGGACGCTAAAGTAAATATATCATATTGGTACTAAAGTTTAGCCTATTTGAATTCTTTTCTTTTTTTTTTCTTTTCTCTTCTTTTTTTTTTCTTCTTCTCCTTTTTTTCGACTTATAATAATTTTATGAATAACAATTATCGATAATAATAAGTGGTCCGGTCTTTTACAAAAAAAAAAAAAAAAAAAAAAAATGATAAAAGATAGTTCATTTGTCAATTCCTTATCTTTCTTTTCTTATCTTCGAAATTTCTTTTTTTTTTCTTTCTCTTTTTCTTCTTCTTCTTCTTCTTATCTTTAAAAAATATGTATTTCAATGTTATTTAAAATGATAAAAAAATCAATTTTTTGCTTTTAAGACACACGAAAAAATAGATTTATCTATATGCATATTTAAAAGATAGATAATGCACTTAATACGTTTATTTTATTTGTATTTTCATTTTGAAAAAGATCATTTAAGAAAAATATTTCATTATCAAATCGTTTTACTTGAATTCACTTCGATAGATAAGAGAAACACCAGATATATAAATATAAACGTGTAAATAAATGTTACGTATGTTTCATTGACAGTGGAAAAATATATAATTCATCTTTGCATTAATATTTCCGAGATAAATCATATTTCATTTTGATTTAGTTGCGTTTTAGGACGTAATCGGAGTAAGACTTAAAAAGATAAAGCTACAATCGTAGATGCAGTGTACACAAAACACACACACACACACATATATATATATATATATATGTACATACACGCATATATACTAACCTATATACCATCTTGATTACGTGCAAATTTTAATTTCGACGAAAACATTGCTTTTTTCTTTTAGTTTCAATTGAAATATTAAATGTACTAAATGTGCTATTAAATGTATTAAATTTCATTTCTATATAACGCGCTTGTTAATTTTCAATTAACTCTATAATCGAATATTTATAATAAACAAAGTTTCGTAATATCGTGAGGTTATAGGAAAAAAAAAAAAAGAAAAAAAAGAGAAGAAAATTGTTAACAAATTATATCGTCCTCACAATTTTGATTTATAAGAATAATTTTATGACACGAGAAATATATAAAAAATTATTTGTACTTTCAGGAATTCGTACATCGAGTTTGAAGATCTATCAATCGAGTAGATAAGTTTGATCAATATGGAGCAAGGCGGAATCTCGATAATATCACCGCCAGGTATTACAGAAAATTCCATTGGAAAACCAACGAAAAACATTGGACTGGCATTGAGATCAAACGCGGGTATTAGGAGTGCCAAAGAGAAGCTGAAAGCACCTTGTGAGTGAAATTACATTGAATTTGATCGTGATTCAGTAACATTAGTTCCGACGATAATAACGATGGTTACGTTTACTCGCGTATAAACGATTGAATTAATCGTAAATTAATAAGAATTAGACGACGTTTATGAATTTGTAAACACAAAGACTTTGAGAGATTTCATTGGTCGTAGAAATTTGTTATTAAATTTCATTCATTGTCATTAATGAAAGTCGTTTGAAAGATTTTTCGAAAGAATCATTTCGAAAGGATTAATAATTCCTTTTCTTCATTGTCTTAAATACTTTTGGTATTTAATTAAATTTCAACATTACAATTTAATACATTTGTGATAATATTTATTATGATCGTTAAGGGATAAAATTTAAAAGGGGGTGTGGGGGAAAGAAAAGTACAAACAAACAAACAATAAAAAGAGAAAAAGAAAATCAACGTAAGTCCCGAACAATTTATTTAAACATACATTATGCATATGATTTTGCGATACGATTTCTCGAAAATCTCATCAGACTTTAAGCACGTTTGATTCTTACATAACAGGTGAATATTCTGGCAAGCGTCCATCGTTTATCTCATAAATCTGTAAAGCAAGACGAGTTGGTATCGTTCCGCCATATTTCATTTTCTTCCTCGTTGATTTCTCAAGGAGGAAAGGAAAGAAAGTATACGTAGAAAGGACGCTTCGTGCCGGCTGCATTCTAAACGATGCTCTACAACTCCGGCGGACTGAAAATTAGGTTAAAAATTCAATTGAATTCGCCGTTTCTCTCGTCTCGGGCTAGAAAACGCGAGATGGTTTTATGCGCTAACTCAACGAGCCATGCGTCAATAACATTCTTATTTTCATATAATAGATAATAATATAGAAATGAGATAAAGAAAACTCTATACCAAAAAGAATCATAAATTTCTAGTTGACCGTAGAATAATCGATTTTACGATAAACCCGTTATAGCATAGTTTTTATTATGTAAAATTGCAACTTAATCGTGCGTACGATAAATTTTCCCTTTCCATTACGTACAATAATTTTACGTAAATCCATTAAATTCGTTACGGTACTTTTTATAATGGTAAATAAATAAAATTTAATATTTCATAAAATATTACGATGAGTATCGTTAATGTAAATATCCGATATAAGATATTGCATAATGCAATTTTATAATAAATAAATTTCTATATTATTTTTATCGTATGAATTAATTTCAAAGAATTATTAATCCATTCAAATTAACACGATTGTTAATTAAAAGTAATTTATTAATGGATCGAAGACTTTTTTTTTTTTTTTTTGATCTTTTCGTATTCCTTGAATTTCAAAAGAAATTCTGAAATCGAGAGAAATTCTCTTGAAAATGAGATCAACCTGTACTCTTCTGTTCAGATTTTCTATGAAAGAAAGTGCGTTGAGAGTTAGAAACACGTGGTAATGTTCGTCCCGGATGTTTTTACGATGCATTAGGTACCTCGTACATACTCCGTTATACTCTAAGAAATCTTGCTAATGAAATTAGATCGCAATTAAAGAGTAATAAGCGTACGACCATCATGATTTCATTCTTTCGTCCTTCCTTCGTGCAAACTTACGTAAAGAACAACTTACGTTTGCCTATTAATTTTCCAAGCATCAATTTATCATTATTTTCGTAATAATTATTTATATCAAATTTGACATCATACGTATCTAATTTTTTCTAATTTTTTCTTTCTTTTTTTTTTTTTTCTTTTTTCTTTTTTCTTTTTCAATTACATTTTATTATAAGCGAAAATCTTATTCACACAGATATATATCGTTTCATTTAACCTTGATAATATAATTATTAAATAATTAATTCATATCAATTTGGATTATGATTATAATCAATTTATTATATATATATCGTCGTTCTTGAAATTATTTTAATTTATTGCATTTAATGTTGCAATTAATAATAATATTTCGATTCCAATGATATTCATTGTTATCATCGGATATTCGAGGGTCCTCTCTTGTTCGGCAATTTGTCATTATCGAATTTTCTCTCTCGTAAGAACGACTATTAGTCTTTGTAGATCGTGTACGAGGTCGTTGATCTTTGACGGTGATGAAGATCGTTGACGGTGAAAAGTAAGGAGTGATCGAGACTGTTCTCTATCCTCGATCTTGAGTAGAAAGTAGTTCGGTTAATGAGAACGGGATGCATTTATGCGTTAACTAAAAAAAAAAAAAGAAAAAAAAAAAAGAAGAAAAAAGAATGAATTCGCGCGAAATAATGACGAAAGAAAGTATAAAGATACTTTTTCGTAAATAAAACTTTATAATATCATGAAAAATAAAATATTTAATATCTTTTCTTATTAAATATTTTCATATTAAATTTTTAATAAGAAAATATTAAAGAAAATATTTATCATTAAATATTCATTAAAAAAAGGGCATAACATTTTATTTGTAAATCATTAATGACAACTTTTACATTTACTAAATGACAATGATTCGTTTTGGATGTCATTTAAAAAGGAAAAAAAAAAAATAATCGTATGAATATTAAAAGATGTTTTATAAAAAAAGAAGAACAAACATAATTTTAATAATGATGATGCTGATGCTGATGATAGTAATAGTGAAAAAAAAAAAAAAGAAAGAAAAAAAAAAAAAAGAAAAGAAAGGTAATGAATGAAGACGTCGCGTATTATTGATCTGTTGAAAATTCATTTGAAGACACATCGTTTCTGTTTATCACAGTGAAGTAAAATTTCGAGAAGGTCCGAAGTTAGGAGAGGGAAAACTTTTCCGTTAACCTAATACTAGCTCTAAACTTCGTCTAAACTTTAAACGAGCGATTTATCAAGAGCCATCGTAATTCAGCACAACCCTTCCTTCCTTCGAGCGTTCGTTCTCACGAGAGTGTTCGTTCCTCGTTGCTCCACTTTGTTTCTTTTTCTTTTTTCGTTTCTCTCTCTCTTTCTCTCTCTCTCTCTCTCTCTCTCTATCTATCTATCTCTATCTCTCTCACTCTCTCCTTTTCTTTTCATTTCTAAGTTGCAAGAGACGACGATATACATATACGTAGATAGACACACGCGCACACACACACACACACACACACACATGGAAACATTTACACATAAACATGCATACACAGGACGAACCCAGGAAGATGTCAGTTAGTTTAGACACGACTAAAGAAGACAATGTCTTTCTGTCCTTTTGTTAAAAGTAGTAGTAAACCAGCTGAGAAAAGAGTTAGAACCTTCGAAGTACACGCATTTACATTCATTACTTTTTACAAATGGCTTCCCTCTCACGTTTGCCGAAGAAACGACATTTAAATGGAAACTTTCTGCCTCGAAATTGTGCAATAACACGCGCGATATCAAGTAATTCCTGAATTATTTTGTTTTCTCAACGTCGGTCATATTATATTCTTCCTGCTTGAACTCGGAATATTTTCGTTGATACGTGCGAATGAAAAGAAAGAAAAAGAACAAAAAAAAAAAAGAAAAAAAAAATTATTACCGTCATATGTTTTATAATAAAACGAATAAAAATTTATACGACGAGAATCATGATCATTATTCGTTCCTTAATAAATCCCAATAATAGATATTAAAAGGAAATAAAATAAATAAATAAATAAATAAATAAATGATTTAATCGAATTCGTAAAATATAAAGGAAGTAATAGTACTATTTTAATCGATCGATCGAGCAAACGTAGATCTTTTGAGAAGATAAGAATGAATTATTTCTTACGTTTATTCGAGGAGAGTGAGCAGGTTGAATGTAGTTGAATCGTCTCCATTGCTTTCAGGCCTCTCGGCCATTCACCGCGAACTTGACCTACTGTCACACTTGCAAAACTTACGATGCACGTGTATCGTACGTTTTATCCTTTCCTTCTAACATATCTATCGATCTCTAATAAAGTACGATTCCTCAAAAATTACTTTCTATTATTTCCATTACTTCTTATTATTTACATTCGAATTAATCGTATCAAGGATCGTGAAAGCGACGTAAAGAAAAAAAAGAAAGAAAGAAAAAAATAAAGTAATCGCAAAAATCGTATGAACAGAAGAATTTTTTCTTTCTTTTTTTAATTAAAAAAAAAAAAAAAAGACAAAGAAATAAAGACCGCAAAAATTTGTTAATCTTTTTAATCGAAATTATTTTGACGAGTATATTGATATTACGATTGCATTATGTTTATCGAATTTAAAATTCGAATTGATTTGTGATGGTGTTGAACAATCATTATCATAATAAAGGATATAAAATATGGTTTTAATATATAATCTTAAATAAATAATATCATGTTAATTCATATCGAATAATGAAATATCAAGATAATGATATATCAAAGTTCAAACATTAGATATAAATATATATTACTTTTTTTTTCTTTTTTTTTTTTTTTTGAAATAGCATCACTAATTCGAACCTATTCTTGATTCTTTACCTATCTTTTTTTTTTTTCCTCTCTTTCCCCGTTCGACTTTTCTTTCGACCGAAACGGATTTATGCAACGATCTTAACAATCAAGTATCGAAGTTACTTTCGAAGCGAGATTTCCCATCGCGAATTTCATTTCTCGACGTTTCGTCCGTGACGATATCGAACGCGAGTTGCATTAGATCAAGAAAATCGAAATAATCGTATATCGAGAATTTTATTTTCTTATATAATTGCGCGTTACATTCGTACAAGTTGTTTCGTGGGTAATGATCAGTGAAAGACAAATATTTTATACTTCGATTAATTCAAATCATTTTAAATTTTATCAACGTTAAACATTATTTTAAATGTTTCATTTCATTTCATTTTATCTTATTTTATTTCTTTCTATTCGATACGAATAAACTCGCAATCATGGAAATAATCTAATAACTTTAATTGCAAATATAAATTGAAAGAAAATGAAAAGAATATTTTACGTATTGCTCAGAGTTGAGGATAATTTTGTTTTTTTTTTTTTTTTACGCGACAAGCTTTTGAAAATAGATTTAGTTTTATTTATTCATTAATTTATTGACGCACGCACCCACCCACGCAAACGATTTTTATCAATATTATTAATCATTAAATTTTTATCGATATTACTAATCGTTACAAAGAAAAAAAACCTTTCGAATTTATGAAATTGCTTTACGCTCTAGATCGCATCAAATGATACATAAGGTAGGAAACGGAAATTCACACAATAACGTTGTCAGAATCTTTCATGTATCTCTCTCTCTCTTTCTCTCTCCGTCTCTCTCTCTCTCTATCTCTCTTTTTCTCTGGGCAATAAAAACACGATAACGTGATATTTTTCGAACAGGAGACAAGAGAAATTTACCGTTTTCTGTCGTTCGAGAAAGCGTCACGCGTGTGACATTTTTAAAATGACGATCCGTAGACAATTCTAGGCCGTCACAGTGATAAATTTTAAAACCGAATATAAATGACATTTAATGATAAAAATATACGAAACGAATCGGTATAATGATACGTAAATAAATAAACGTAATTAAAATAATATATGAATTATATAAGATTTTGTATTTAAAAGGAAAAAAATATTGTCCTTTCATCAATAATTTCCGATAGTTATTTATCTGTCGAAGAAGAAAAAAAAAAAAAAAAAAAAGAAGAAGATAATACAATTAATTCTTTCTCTTTTTTACAATAATTTTATTTTTTGTTCAATTAATCTTTCCCGATCAATGAAAATTCTTCTTAATTAAGAGTGACCACCAAGCGTGACATTTACAATGGGATATATCCAAAATAGGAAAATAAAATCTTCCATACGAGATTGATATAAACATTTGGTATGTTCGGAGCAAAAATTCACTTCGTCGGGGAAAATTTTGCTTCGCCGACTTTATTAGAAAATGAAATTAAGTGAAATTAAATAGTCAGTCTGTTCGTTATCGAACGCAAAGTCAAATATTGGCCACGAGAGTTGACCGAAAATCAACCTCGTAGGGAGTTTGAAAAAATGAATATATATATATATATATTTTTTTTTTCCCCCTTATTTTCTTATTAATTTCATCCCCTCGTTAGTGTTTTGTTTGGTTTGGTTTTCTCTCTCTCTCTCTCTCTCTCTCTATATATATATATATATATTTTCGTAATTGCATTAAGATTAAATGAAAAAGAAAAAAAAAATAAAGTAAGATAAAATAAAATAAAATAAAATAAAATAATAGTAAGAGTACACTTCGAAAGGATTTTTAAATAACTAATTTATAACTGTTCTCTTTTCTTTTCTGATATTTTTTTCTTTTTTTATCTCTTTCTTTTTTTCTCTAAAGAGAAAGCATGAACACGTTTGAAATTTCTCAATATTAAGTATAATAACAGTTATTATATAGAAAACAATGTATTCCTCATGGAGATTGCGTGTAAACATCGCATTATCAACGAATAAATGATTCTCTTGAGAGTTCGTCGAAGTCTTTATCGGAGGATCTCAATATCGTGCTTTCATCAGGGTACGATTTTACATCCTAATTAGTCTGGTTAATTGAACGTCAGAGGTGTACCATTTCCCTCTTGTGATAAGGAAGAAGAGAGAGAGAGAGAGAGAGAGAGAGAGAGAGAGATCGACGAAGACACGTACGAAGGAACAAAGGAAAACGATAAAAATGTCCACATAACAAATTAAAATCATCGAGATGAAAAGATTAAGATTTACCATAAAATATATAATCTCGTAATTAGTAATTATAATTCATAAATTAGATATTCTTTGAATTTCACGTGGAAAAGTAAATGAAATTTTTTTATTATTCAACGATCAGGATTATCTTAAAAAAAAAAAAGAAAAAAAAAAAAAAAAAAGAAAATACATTGTCCGATAGATTTCGTTCGTTTTCATTTCTCTTTTCTCTCCAATCCTCCCCCAATTTAAATCCATTCGTTATATTTTTCTTTCAATTTCTCTTGGGTCACTTGATAGCTGAACGAGATCCATTCAGAGAAAGCATTGTGCCCTAAGGAAAATGAGTTTTCATTCAACGGAGAATTGGATAACCAATACTGACAAAACTATGTAAGTGGCATACGTATGTACCTTACATATGTACGTGGATGTAACAAAATTCTGCTCTTAAATACGATTCGATCGAGGCTTTCCCAAATATCGGATAGTTAATGGAAAGCACGTCTACCGTTTTCGGTTCGGTCAATCGTAGAGACAATCGTTAAAGTAATTTACAGAAGACCAGAGAACTTTTATTACATACATATATATGTATATATATATGTATATATATATATATATATATACACGGTATATACATTCGAGAATACTAGCAAAAAGTAAAATACATTCGTTATATATTTCAACGTTAAAACCTTATATTACTAGTTAATATACGTATATTAATACGATCAACAAGGTTGTTAATTACGGAGTCGATTAAAAACATGTAATTCATTTACACGGATAATGTAGATTCCTATAATTTTATGATAACATCGATCATCAACGTTATCCCCGTCGGTATGAAATTAACGAATTATAATATGGCATTCCTTTTGAACGCTCTTCGAACATTATTCTCGATCAATAACGTCTATTTCTTTCTTATCAACTCTTTTTTTTTTTTTTTCAAATCACGTGACTACTCCGATCATTCGAAAATACATTCGTGATATTTCATTTCAAAAAATAAAAGAAAATAATCATCGAATTGCAACCAATGACTTTTCTTTAATTATTAAATAAATCCTTAAAAAACAAGAAAAGAAAAAAGAAAAATAAATTGATTAAAAAAAAAAAAAAAAAGAAAAAACGAATAAAAGTAACAAAAATTTGAAATTCCTTCCTTTACGAAAAAATATGAGTGATCTATAATCTGCATTAAATTCCAAAAGAGAGGTAAAGAGAGAAAGAGAGAGAAAGACTGAGAGAAAGATCAAAATAGAAATATCAACAGAATGAAAAGAAAAGAAAAAAAGAAATATATATATATATATATATATATATATATATATGCTTCCGAGATTGTTGAAGAGTCGGCAGAGAAAATTGGTAACTAAAGTTACATATTACTTTCACGAGTTTCGTGCAATAAACGAGCGGGGCTGAAAACTTTCATCGTAATTATCGCGTATTCTCTGGGCTAGCTTCGTTTTTAATTAGAAAACGGGAGATCTCTATCGAGCGCGGTCGGTCTTTGAAGTAACAAATACAAAAAGAAAAAAAAAAAAAGAGAAAAAAAAAGGAAAAAAAAGAAAAAAAGAAGAAAAAAAAAGAGAGAGAAAAATAAAAAGAAGGTGAAAGAGAGAAAAAAAGAAATAGAGGAGAGAAAGGAAAAAAAAAAGATCGAATAGAAAGTGCTGGTGGAATCTCGTAAAAAGGATTTCCACGAATACACACGACAATTATTTCTCTAACGTTATTCGTGCAAATTATAAACGTAAAAAATTCTTTCTGGCGTAACGAAACGCTAAAGATATTTTTCATGTTAACCGAACAATTTCAGTCCGATCCTTGCCACGATATTTCTTCTCCATTTATAAGATTTTCTTTAACTTTTTAACAATCATTGATAATAAATTTCAAGCTGTTATTACAATGATGTAAAAATAAAATAAAAAAAAAAAGCAATTCTGTTGAGTTTTCATAATTATTCGTATTAACAACAGATACGATTTAAATTTACTATTCGTGTTTCGAAATTAGAATGTAAAGGAAATCGATGAAGATATAACGACTCGTCGAAAGTTGACTCATTTTACGAATGCATGCTTTTAATTAATGACTTCACTTTTTGTCTCTTTTTCTTTCCTTCTTTTTTTTTTTTTTAACCATGATAACCAAGAGATTTCAATGACGACGGATCATCAATGTTTTCAATACTATGAGTTCGTTATTGAATCTAATTATATCCTGACCACGTACGGTTAATTAAGGGAACAGGATGGTAATATCGATGTGAACGCTCAATGGAATCTCTCTGTATAATTTAAAAGTATATGAAGGCTAATGTATATATATATATATTTATATATAAAGTAATACAAACACTAACAAACAATGTTGTAGCAACATACAATACATCGAATTTGTTTTGTACTTTCGAATAGATCTGATAACTGTGAAATGTATGTAATTTTAACGCTATTATAACATTTTTAATAGAAAATTAATCGTTTCTTTAAAAGTGAATACTCATTTAATTAGAGATAACAATTTTTGTAAATATTCGTTTTTTTCCTAATTTTTTTTTTTCTTATTTCATTTAACAAATTTCATATATCGAACTTCAAATAGGAATGCGTAATTAGTTTCAATGTGATATGCATTAATTCCTATTCGCTTTCATGTAAATTTCAACGTTGATCCTTGACCCCGACGTTCGTGGAAGATTCCGATAATCGTATTCGACTTTTAAATGACAAACTTTCTGCCGATGTAACTTTGTACGAAGAGAACTATAAAACGGAACGAAATATCTTCCTCGTATCTCTTTCTTTATTTCTTTCATGGCGATTAAGAATTAAAATAAAAAGAAATAATTAGAAAAAAAGAAAAGATAATTATTTATTTAATACTTTTCATTATTATCGTATTCTAATATTTATCTATGTAATATTATGTTCCAGTTTTTTACACGATTTTAATGGAATTTATATATATATATATGTATACAATATTATACATATTAATAATCATATAATAGACAACAACAATATAATAAACAATGTAGAGAATAATGAATATAATAGAAAAAAAATATGATATAACGTTTATAATGTACTTTAAAAAAATATAACGTAATTTTCTTTTTATACTTATTTTAGTTCTTACACGTATTTAATTATTTATTTATTAAAAAATTAAATAAATAAATAAAAAGGAAGAACTAAGGGAGAATATCGATTTTTTTTTTGAAGGAAATTGACGTCGAATGTCAGGAACTTTACGAAAATGTTTTCGACATCTATAGTCTCTTTCTATTTCTCTATTTCTCTCTCTCTCTCTCTCTTTTTATATATATATATATATATTTGGTTTTCTCAAAGTTAGCCCAGCGTGATTTTCTAAAGTGCCTTACGAATTATTTATTTTTCGTCCACACGAATAGAAGCCGATCGTGCGCAAAAATGGCAAACTTTCGTCTTACGTCACGTCCGATTACCTCTCATCTATCATGAATTTATTTTTCTTTTTCCTTTTTCCTATTTTTTTTTCCTCTTTTTTTTCCTCTTTTTTTTTTTTGCCTTTTGAATTTTTCCACCGCTTTTTTGTGTATCCCTTAGGAAACGACGCACTCAGAATTTTTTTTTTTCTTTCTTAATAATCGTTTCTTTTATCCTTATTGAAAAATATCTTAGTTTAGAATGAAATCTGATTCGCAAAAATAATGTTATTCATTAATTAGTTTTCTTTAATAATTAGTCAAAACAATATATATTATTTTTAATAATTATATATATATATATATATAATATATCATTTGTTTTTCTTTATCGTTTATTACAGGGTTAAAAAATCTAATAAAAGAAGAGAAGTCGATCTACGAGACAATCATGGTACTTCTAGGAGAGATTATCGGCACTGCAATTTTAGTTTTCATTGGATGCCTGAGTTGCGTAGGAAGCATGGGTATCGTTCCACCACTTTATCAAATTTCCATGAGTTTCGGTATTGCAGTCACGATTGCGATTCAGGTATTTGTATAAAAAATTTCAGTGAGAAAAATTTTTCATTTCAATTATTATTTGCACAGTGTAATTAATTTTTTACGTATTTCACGTAATCATATACGTACTCGTATAGAAACAATACAAATGGAAAATAATGTAATTCATTTGTCTCAATTTATTTCACATAGATTTATTATTAATTAATATTAATTATTTATTATAAATTAATATTAATTTTGTAGAATTTTTTTCACTCATTCCTTTTTTCTTTACTTCGTACTATTTTCTTTTTTTTTCTCTCTTTCATTATATTTCGTATCTTTTTCCGTTTTTCTCTTTTTTTTTTTTTCTTTTTTTTTTTTCCTTCACAGTGCGTAGGTCACATAAGCGGAGCTCACATAAATCCATCGATCACAGTGGCCAGTTTAATACTCGGCCTTAAGTCTCTACCTATGACTGGCCTTTACATTTTTGCACAATGCTTAGGAGGAGTCTTCGGTTATGGTTTGTTAAAGGTCAGTCGGACAGCCAGTCAATTGTTACGTTTACTACTACGATTACGCATATCATAAAGCCATTTTTGAGAGCTTCGAACGTTTATGGACATAATGAAAAAATTTATGGGAACACATTTGATACACCTGTCACATTATTTCTACTTTTTTCGAGAACGAACAATCTTTATGTAAGGTCATTCGCATTTAATTCGAAATATTTTCTCTAATCGTATGATTGTTCATAAAACAAACTCATAAAAGGATATGCTCGGTTGCAGACACATGATATGACTATGAAAATTATAAATATTATTATAAATATTTATTATGAAATTAATAAATTTCATTCGATTATTCGTATGAAATGTTATATTGTTCATCTTAATTCAATTCTTCTTTTTTTTTTTTTTTTTTTTTTTTTTTCATCAAGCATAACATTAAATAAATTTTGAATTTCAGGCAATAACACCGAGTGGTATGTTACACGGTGGAAATCCAGAGGATACGATTTCCTTCTGCAAAACCGATTTACATCAGAATATAAGTGTTTTTCAAGGATTGTTAAGCGAAATCATTGCAACTGGTATATTGGTATTCTTTGCATGTGGCGTTTGGGATCCACGAAATGAAAAAAATTCTGATTCAGTACCACTGAGATTTGGCTTTTGTGTCACCGTTCTTTGCTTCGTTTTCATTCCTTACACCGGTTGTAGCTTGAATCCAGCCAGATCAATCGCACCAGCCATTTGGAATGGATATTGGAAAAATCATTGGGTCTTTTGGATCGGTCCAATTAGCGGCGCTATTATATCATCCATTCTTTATCGTTGTCTCTTTTTACCTACAATTAAAAAGAACGAAGACAATCAAAATACCTTGACCGGAATAGAAACTTAAACTGATCGATACGTAAGCATATTTTTTTATATATTCATATATAGTATATAATGTCGTTGAATTTTCATACGTTAAGAAGAAGAAAATATTCTTCTTTGTTTTTTTTTTTTTTTTTTTTTTAATTGATATTTCAAATAGAATATAATTTAGGCATATTATCGAGATTTTAAAAATTTATTCAATTGACATTTATTAATTAATTAATTTATTTATTCATTTCGCTCTTTCTTTTTCTTTTATTTTGACATACACACACACACACACACACTTTTACATTGTTAAATCCATTGATTGAAAAACGTGAAAGAGAGAGAGAGAGAGAGAGAGAGAGAGAGAGAGAGAGAAAGGAAAAAAGAAAAAAGGAAATATTGTCCAAATTGATTTTATTTGTTTACTTTTGGAATTACATTTTCATTCAAATATTTCATTCAACTAGATCGACTATCTTTTCTAACTCAATCCAATTATCCAATCGTTATTTTTTTTATATAAACGTAAAAACGTAACATCGAACTATTAATTAATTCATTAAAATGAATATTTCAATTCGTTTTCCATTTTCAGGCGTAATGATCACAATTCGAGAGAAAAAGAGTGAAACGGAGAGAAAGAAAGAAGGAAAGAAAGAAAGAAATAAAAAGAGAGAGAGAGAGAGAGAGAGAGAGAGAGAGAGAAATCCTGATCGTTTAATCGAGCCGAAATAATTGGCGCTTACGAATAAAAGGATAATGAAAGGATCGTTATCATTTGAAGAAGGAGAGAGAAGAAGAGAGCTGATAAGCCGAAAAGTTATAATAGCATGAACAAAAAGATCATGTTCCTTGTTTTTTTTTTCTTTTTTCTTGTTTTATTTTATTTTTATAAACTTTTCTTTCATAATTTTGTAGAAAAGTAAGTAATCGATGCATTTTTATCTTTTGACAATTAGCGTTCGATGAGAAATCCTTCGAATCGTTATCGTCGTCGTCGTCGAAATAATTTTCTTTTCTTTTTTTCTTCCTTTACTCTTTCTTTTTTAATTGTACAAAAGAAATTCATATAGTTAAATTTTAAGATTTTAGATTTATCCATACCCCGCCCGTCTTCCCAATTCGCTCCAATCCCCCGCTCTTTATAGGCGGGAATTTTATAAGAAAAACGATTATGTTCGATTCATTAATTCGATTTTCTCAATGAAACATTTCTGCAATTAGACGTATCTTAGTCTTGCACGTAGATATTAAGCTAAAATCAAAGTATTTAAATTATCCCATATATATATATATATATATATATATATATATATATATCAGTATAATCTATATTTTAAAGGCTTTAGTACTTTGTCGAGTTTCCTGTTTCGTTCGAGAAGCTCTCATTCTACATAAGTACATATA